CTAATGATGTTCAGTCCATTTTCATTCATTAAAAAAGGGAAGGAGAATCTGCATTATTGTGATTTCTAACAAACGTGCTGTGCATTTCAAACAACACATATTCACATAATCCAGACTTACAGATCAAGCTGTCACAAAGGGGAACAACATCTGAGCTATACAACACCTTGTCATCCCAATCTATACCAATGTCATTTTTTTAAACACCAAATCCTTGGCGATACTGACAATTAGGTGTATGACACACAACTACTCTTTTGTAGTCGAGCAGTTTGGGACCCTTCAAGGGATCCAGGTGTAAGTTTGACACGACAGACGTGTGGAAACAAGATGGGGAGGAAAATATCTTGGAAATGGTTGGCAGATCCGAGTACATTTTGCAGCTATCAGGTCTGTCAGCTCTTGTGAAAATCAATAGTCTCAAGCTCAGGCCCATGGGCCCATCGTGTGGAGCTGTTTCTGTAATAACAACCAGTGCAGTAGGTGGCTGCCTTGTAGCCTTGTATAAGTAATGAGTTTTCTATATATGATGAAGACCCCTGAGGCTGGAAGATGTCTAATTAAGAAAAAATGGCCAGAGGTGCTGATAAATAAAACAGAGTCGGTACAATATTGGACAGGTTGTGTGTGAAGAAACCATTTAGGCTGCCTCTCTTCACTCACATTCTGCTGAATATGAGTTAAGCTTTCATATCTTATCATGACAACATGCACTGTGCTTTTGCACCTGGGTGTACAGAATAAATTATGTGCGAAGCATCACACCTCCGCTCCTCCTTGTACTCATAATGCTTGTTCTTCCAAACTGCCAGGCAATTTTTTTTAATGATCCACAAGGGGGAGGGGAACTGGATAATGCGAACATTTAGTCAACTGTTTACAACTTTGTAAAATAACCGATAAACATATTCAACTTTAAACTGCTCCGATGCGTTTGGACTAGTCTTATTTCTCTTCGTGACGTTTTTAAAGCTACACCAGTCGGGGTTTTTATGTAAAATATAGGCCTACCTGTCTCATCAGCCTGACTGTGCTTTGGGCTGAATGTGATTTATCAAGTACACCAAACCTATTTTTCCTCACAAAGATCTGGTATTAGAAAGGTACACTTGTCTGCCTGTAAGAAGTGACAAATCAGAAGCGAAGAGGGAGAAAGGAGCAAATGTATTCCCTTAACAACAGTGAGTGAGTGCTCCATCCAAAGACAAGTGGACAAGGTAAAATTAGATCTCTTTCCTGTCTTTTCCCTTTAGTGTCTCTGAGTACAAACCGTCACCATGAGTTTCCTGTGTGTATTGTATTGATGACATTCTATATAATTACCTAAAGGGAGACTCACAGCAGTGGAGGCTGAGATATCTCGAGTTAAAGTCCCTCGTATGGGTCAAGTCTCCCAGAACACTGCGTCATACATTTCCCAAAATGCAACTTGATTGAAGCTTTCATTAGATCCTCCCTGCTGGCTAAACACCCATGTCTTTAAACTGCACTCCCTAGAGTGTAACATGTGTAGTCTTATAGCCCCAGCTGAAATAACCCTGATGACACCACTGTGATATCATCATGGTGATGATGATCTCTGCCTTGACAAAGCTCGTCCAGAGCCATAGGGCCTGTTTACACCTGTTATTTACATTGGTTTCAGTGGTCTGAAAATAAGTGGACAGCCAAAACACATCGCCCTACACACCTGTGTCTATCATGCATCTGTAGCTGACCACTTGTCTTCAGATTTTGTACTGCCTGATGTCAATTAGGGTTAGGGTCAAAGGACCCCGTACACGGTTATTATGAGCGAGTACACCATTATCTGTATCTGTGTCTGTGTCTGGTTAAGCAACTATATTATCTGTGTCTGTACTCCTAATGGGCGGAGTTTATGCCAGAAGTGGTTGGGGTTTAAATCGAAAGTGAGAAGTTGTTATTTTAAGCCTGAAATTTTTATGGATTAATCAGAAATTGTCATATTTATTACCTATGAGAGAGTATTATCAGAAATTAGCTTCAGATCATTTTTATCACAAGAGTAACAGATTAAACACAGCTACCCAAATGAGGATTTTGTTGTTGTTGTTTTTTTTTAAAATTTGTATTTATTTTTATTGTGTATTTATTAATTTTTATTAATGAGTTTTTCTAGCTGGCACATTCTTCTATTTTGTTACTTATTCATTTATTTTAACGTATTTATTTACTTATTTATTGACTAATCTAAAGTTGTTTTCTATTCTATGTTTATATCCTGCCTCCTGTGTTTCCCCACTTATGATACCGTTTCCCCTGTTCCTGTTTTTTATGAGTGCTGTTATTATTTTAATTTTTACCATTACAGTCTTTGCTTTGTGCATGTGTGTGTGCGCGTGTGTACGAAGGTATTGTTTTATTGTTTTTATTGTGGGAAGCACTTTGTGTTTGATTGATTGGTACAGATAATGACACATTTTACTCGTATGATACTTGTACTCGTACAGAAAGTACATTAAAAGTACATTATCTGTGTCGAATACTAATCTCACTCAAGTATTTGGCTCAACCTTAGTTATTACATCCGCACTCTCACTAGCTGCTCACTAGTCATGTTAGCGGTTGCGTTGGTACAGCTGGAGATATCACTGTCAGCAGAATTCAACACAACTCCTTCCATAGTGCAAAACGATAAACGGTCATGCAACGTTTTGTCCAACTTGTAAAATGGTCAAATTATAGAGCCCTGTCACCAAAACATCCATGATGTCCTGCAGTAATGACACGGTCCTTGTCGGGGACGCATCAGGACGTATTACAAAAGATGTGGTCAAAGGCGTCCCAGCTCATCTCAGCAGGTGGTTTGAGTCTTGTGTCTTGATGGCTGTTTAAACTTAGTGCTACCACTTGTGAGTGAATCTCCCATGTTAATACCAGCTATAAACAGGCTCAGTACTCCTCACAACTTGAAAATGACCTGTGTGTGAGCGCCCCTTTGAAATTACATTTTTAACAGTCGCTTTCTAAAAATACAAGAGTGTGATATTTTCGTTTGTTATGACAGTAAATTGGACATGTTTGGGTTTTCGCCTGTCGGTATAAGTGAGCAATTTGAATATGTCACCTTCGGAGCTGGGGAATTATAAAAGCCATTTTTCATAATTTTCTGACCTTTAACTAACAAAATGATTGATTGCTTACTTAAAAAAAATAATTAGGGGAATTAATTAGTTCTGCCCTTTATTTAATTTTGCCAGTTGTTCTGGGGGTTCAGTTTTTGTCTTCTCTGACTAAATATGTCAAAATTAAGATTTCAGTTTTGAGCTTATTTTAGACATGTAAGCCATTATTTCTCCCTTAAAAATGTTTAAATGAATTAAGCTGTTAATACCACTCTAGCGGGAGTTATGAGATACACAAAGAATCAAAAGGTCTCCACATGTCAGACTATTTACTTCCCTTTTGACCATCATTTACTTAACCTTTATTTAACATTTGTTTACTTTATGTAACTTAACTTGACATTTACATACTTACAATGTACCATTTAATTTTTTTTTTGCAAACTTTATGTTCAACATCTTCCATCTCCCAAGTTTGTCTTTTGCAGTGTTGGTTAGGTGCTACTTTTACATTTAATACTTTATTCTTTACCATTGAAATGGAGATCATTTAACCTTGTTTCACCTTCTACCTTTTATATTTTTATGTTCCAATGTACAGTATTTTTAATTGGCCTATTGCACAATCAACATCTCGACATATCATAGCAGGAAAAACAAAGGTGTAATTAATAACAGTCATAAAGGTTTAGCTAAACAAGTTCCAGGGTCTTGATATTTTGCATGCTGGCTTAGTGAAAACAGTTAATGTTCTTAGATACACCTTGCTTTTTCTGATAGAAGTCATTTATGTCTTCCTCCTGTCTGTCCTTCTTTATTTCCTATAGCAGTGCTCTTTCATCTCCACAGTTGTTTTGCTTTTGATTCCTTGAACTTCCTTCCTTTTCCCTCGACCTTGTTAGCTTGGGAAAGCTGCTTTACAAAGGCCCAAATGTGTCAATGTCTTTTAAGAAACCCATCTTTCAACTTTGCACAGAGTTATTCCACTGACCAAATCACAGTGAATCATACTAACAAAACAAAAATGCACAGTGAAGTGGCCTAATAGGGACAAAGGGGTCAAATGCAGTTTCCTGTGTAACACTTGTGCTAATAGCTAGGGCAGCCTCAGCTGAGTCATGATGAGATATGTTACCAAACTGATCTCCATTCACATTCACAGTCACCCTGGCCTGCGTACCCCAGACTTCTGGCTGAAGTTGTCTGGGTGTAGAGACCGCTGGAGCTGCAGGTATCTTTTCTGCAGCTTGTGTGTGTCCAGTGTGAATGTGTAGTCACTGAAAAGAGGCAACACACGGGAACGTGGCTGAGTTAATAAATATAGTTAATGAGTAATAAAAAGATGATGGTGGGTAATAATACATAAGACAATGTACTTACCAATCCATAAGCTTAAAGTAGGATGCCTCTTCATCAGGAGGCTGAACAGCTTTGCATGACATACAGAAGAATACAGGTCTTTGGTCAAGAGGCAGTTTGCAGTTCCAGCAGTTCAGTTTAACTTGACCTGTGCTGTAATTCCGAGGTGAATTAGTGTAGGAAATTAGCTTCCTTTCTTTTCCCAGTGCTTTAAAGTTCACGTTGTTGTTCCCTGTGTCCTTTTTGAGGAAGGCGGTGGACATGCAATGTGCTGAACATGTAACAGTTTTATAAACAGACTGTCGTTTCGTCATTAGCCAGTTTGAGTGCAGTAGAGCCCGGGACGAGCGCCCAATCCGCAAAGAGTTCAAAGACAACATTTCCAGTATTAAAATACACAATTTGACCCCGTTGTCTAATCAATAAAAACATAAAATCCTCTTCTTGCTGTCAAATCATGAACATCCTCAAAAATCAGAGAGGAAGAACGTTCTTCTTCTACGGTTTTTACACGCGCCACACTGCCACCCGTCGTCCTGGCGGTGTAAGCGGAGAACTGCTTCTGGAAAAAACAACAGCTAGCAAGCGGAGCTGCTAGATGTTGTTTGTTAGCAACTATAGATATTAAAGTAGCACTGGATTTCACCGCAGCCCATCAGACGTAGTAAGTTGAACATGATAGCAGTTTTAATATGTGTTCGCAGTGTATCACTGTCATGTTAGCTACAGCCTTTGCTAGGATGTAAACTTCCGATGACAGACAGAGAGCCGGTGTAGCTAGGTTAGCTTGCTAGCTAAAGCAGCCTAGCTTAGCTTGCTAACGAGTTTTAACATCAAATATTGTTGCTGTTTGATATCGACACCTGTTAGTTGCTTGTTGCCAGACCTCTGTGTGCTTCTTTAAAGACAGAGTGTCACGTTATTTTATAGTATATAAACTAAAACACATAGCTTTAACTTTCTGTTATGAAGTGCTGGCTCAGCTACCTAGCCAGATGACAAAGACATCCTACGCTAACGTTGCCAGTGGTGAGTGATGTACAGTCGGTATATGTATCTAAATTAACGTGTGTTTGACGATATAACTAATATCTGGCACAATATATTACATACTTGTATTAAGAGCTATTGTCTATCAAGGCAGAGCCCGGTTATTTACAAATATTGTTGTTTAAACATAACTTGGATAATCAACACGCATGCAGGTAACTTCCTGGACCCATTTTGCTAAAGTGTGTCACTCCCAAGTTTGTTAGAAGACAGCTGGAACCACGTTTTCATCTGCCATTGTCATTTTCAGGTTCCTTATTAAGCCCATGGCGATGAGAGAGGCAATGGTCCATGAAGAGTTTTGGATACACAGAGAGTGGCTCGTCCACCACGGTCATCACCAGGCACTGGAGTACAGATAACACCTCCAAACTGGTGAGTATTATATTTACATAATGTGCTTGTTGCTGTCACAACACTGGAAAAGTTATGTGTGCAAAAGTTCCTCTGAACTGTGGCCAGAGAAGGTATGCTTATTTGGCCAGGGATCAGACTAGGCGTCTTGACTTTACAATTTCCTAACAAAGTACAGGCTCTGATGAATGCCGGCTCCTGACTCTTGTTGTGTGTGTGTGTAGGTGTGTGTTTTGGGGGCGGCGGGGGTGCAAAAGGTGACGGTAGAGTATTCCAGAGAGACACTGGTTGGAGACAGCAGCTTCTGTAAGGTAAACAGGATCTCCTCCTGAAGGTCGAGGGAGGTGCTTCTCAAGGCCCCCACAGACAATACTCTGGGTATTATTAACGGAAATGGCTAAGAATAGAGAGCAGGGGAGCTAGGTGGCTCCTCTGGCGGCAGTGTTGTTTGGGTTAAACAAGCCAAAACGGAACATCATCTTTAGAAGAGTGACTTCTCGGGCTTAGATGCTGGGTGTGTCGCACTCACACAAGGCTAGGGGTTGATTTGGAGGGCTTTATCTTGCTCTGATGTTGAGCAGCGACAAAGCAGTAGTTGTGGATCGCTCTTGACTGTTTACGAATGGAGTTATTGTGCTTTACATTTCGGATCTGTAAGTACAACCATTTTTCAAGCAGATTAAGAGCATTTTGGAGCTATCCTTACACACACATTATGTGCTTTTTTTAAAAGTTTGTTTCTATTTCATAACAACAACTTGGAATAATAACTTGAATGGGTCGTGCTGCCTGAATGCCATGTGTAGGTATGAGGTTGCATGGATACATAAAAAATGTATTCCTAATTAGGGGTGAGCAAGATGGATAAAATCCTTTTATCATGGTGTATGTAAAATATCATTATAGCTTTGACCAAACACCCTTATCAATATTGCCACAATATTGTAGGATTCATTATTGGTGCTTTCACAAAATATTTACACAATGAGATTTTTGAGAAATAATCAACAGCATTGTTGATATAATGAGTAAGTGGGTAAAGGCCAATAATAGAGCAGCTAAAACAGTCTGGTAAGTTCAGAAAATTGTAAGACCTTAGTGTAATGCAGCCTTTAAAACCAGGAAAACACAACACTGATTATATTAAGATATCAAAAAACTAGGATATCACAATGTAGGTCTTGATATAATATCAATATATTGCCCAGCCCTACATGATGTAATTCATATTCTGGAACATGAATTAAAAAATAGTAGTAGTGATACATCTTTTAAATACGCTGGATAGTGTTGTCACAATCGTATTTGATTCAATAGAATACGTTGAAAAATACTATTTTCAGTATCACAGTGAATATTTGACATTGAGGGCATACAAGTTATTTTTTTTATTTGAAGAAAACTATATCAAGGCTACAATATGATGACCTTTCTTTTTTTGGTTAGTAGCAGAGAACAGCTGAATGATAACATTAACAATAAGAGAGAGAGAGAAAGTACAGCTGGTACTGGTGTGTAGACACTGCGGAAAATGTGTACTGATACAGTTTCAAATATTTAGTATTGATATGTTAAGATAAATATTATTGACAAATTACCCTGGATCAATACACAATTAATGAAAAAGGACATTGGCCAGTAATTATTGATCTGTGTTTCTTTTATTGTTTCTTTCTTTTATTTTATTTTATTTTTTTCACTTTCGGTCAGACACTTTTTGTCTCATCCACTTGGGCATATCCTTGCTTATTTGTCCTTCTGTGTACTTACATACATTATATACATATATTAATATACATATCTACCTACCTTTGCATATCCCTATCTGTCAACACCTCTTCAATCAATCATTTCACTTACAATAGGCAAGAAAGAAAATGAAAGAAAAATGACAACCAAAAAATATTAAAATAAATAAATAAAAATGATATAATAAAATTCCCAGAAATTCCCAAAAAAATATGTTGAACTTTGACAAAACGATCTGTACTCTCTGTCCTTTTCCTCACCCTCATTTGTTGTTTCTTTATCACATCTGTCGTTACTGTTTAACAGTGCAGGTCAACTGACTTTCTCGACTTCTCTTAATATTCCTTTACTCAGTTTTAGAGTATTTTATGCAGTTTGAAACACTTACTTTAGATGTTGTAATCAGCATCAGAAGAGAAAAAGTGGTTTCAGTGCATCCGTGCTAATTAGGGTGCCCTCCCAATGAAAATCAGGTGCACTGATTTTTATTGATTAAGCCAATCTGAAATGATTCTTCTGTTAATTTACTCATTTATTGTGTTTTTAACCTGCATACACTTTAAAGGCAGCTGTCCCATTGCCTGTGTGAAATGTTTTCTTTCTTTGTCTTCATGGGGACAACATGTTAACTCTTCACTTAAATCTTGTCTGGACTAAATTAAATTGCCTTCATGTTTTATCGATGACTGCTTTGCCATTTGGCCACAACATTTGAGATGCGATGTCCAGCGTGATGCCCCTCTAAAAGCAAGATTAATTGTGACTATTTAACAATAGTTAAATCAATAACATTCTAGCCCACTCAGTAAAGTCAATCAGGCAATTCTTTGTCACAACCTGTGTGAATCTATATTCCATTTCTCTTGGCAGCCTTCAAATTAACCGTCTGGAATGTTCTGTATGACCTTGTTAGTTAGCATTGTAGTATTGATTTTTCGGCTTGATGTTGGGTTGTGGTTCAGGTAAAGGCTGTTCAATCAGTAGGGGATGGAGGTTTTTCTTTTTAATTTAAAGGAAAGCCATATCTGTAGTGTTTTAGTGTTTGACAAGGCTTTATAATGCAGTATATCACTATGCTCAGTAATGATTATGTCCTCATTTTTCCCCACAGATAAACCATGATCCCCATCACTGAGCTGCGGTACTTTGTGGACACACAGCCGGCATACCGCATCCTGAAACCATGGTGGGATGTGTTCACCGACTACATCTCCATTGTTATGCTCATGATTTCAGTGTTCGGGGGGACACTGCAGGTCACTCAGGACAAGATGATCTGCCTGCCCTGCAAATGGGTGGTCAATGAGACCTGCAAAAAGAACTTCAACGCCACCCTCTCTGCATCGTTGTTCTTGGAACCCAGAGGGATCCAGTACGATCTGGACCGCCACCAGTACAACTATGTGGATGCGGTGTGCTACGAGAATAGATTGCACTGGTTTGCCAAGTATTTCCCTTATCTAGTATTACTTCACACCCTTATTTTCTTAGCCTGCAGCAACTTTTGGTTTAAGTTCCCACGGACTAGTTCCAAACTAGAGCACTTTGTATCCATCTTGCTGAAATGCTTTGACTCCCCATGGACAACTAGGGCACTGTCAGAGACAGTGGTTGAAGAGAGTGACCCAAAACCAATGAAAATGAACGGCTCGATGGACCACAAGGAGTCTGTTATCAGTGAGGATGTCGAAGCAAGTGTCCCCATGCTGCAAAGGACAAAGACACGCTTTGAGCAGGGCATTGTAGATAGAACAGAAACTGGGGTGCTGGACAAGAAAGAGGGCGAACAGGCAAAAGCCCTGTTTGAAAAAGTCAAAAAGTTCCGTATACACGTCGAAGAAGGAGACATTGTGTACAGGCTGTACATCCGTCAGACTATCATCAAAGTCATCAAGTTCATTTTGATAATCTGCTACACAGGGTATTATGTGCATGATATTAAATTCAGTGTTGACTGTTCGGTGAATATAGAAAGCCTGACAGGATACAGCGTGTACCGTTGTGCTCACCCATTGGCTACCCTTTTTAAAATCTTAGCCTGTTTCTACATTAGCTTAGTGGTGGTGTATGGTTTGATTTGCATGTACACACTTTGCTGGATGCTTCGGCGCTCTCTGAAGAAGTACTCCTTTGAGTCGATTCGGGAAGAGAGCAGCTACAGCGACATACCTGATGTGAAGAATGACTTTGCGTTCATGATGCACATGATAGATCAGTATGACCCTCTGTACTCGAAGCGCTTCGCCGTGTTCCTCTCAGAAGTGAGCGAAAACAAGCTGAGGCAGCTCAACCTCAACAACGAGTGGACACTGGACAAGCTCAGGCAGAGGATTACCAAGAACTCTCAGGAGAAGCTTGAGTTGCACCTTTTCATGCTGAGCGGCATCCCAGACACAGTATTTGACTTGATGGAGCTGGAGGTTCTGAAGCTGGAACTGATCCCTGATGTCACCATCCCGCCCATCATCGCTCAGCTGGTCAACCTGCGAGAGATGTGGCTTTACCACACACCAGCCAAAATCGAAGCTCCTGCTTTGGCGTTTTTGCGTGAGAACTTGAAGTCCCTGCACATCAAGTTCACTGACATCAAAGAGATTCCCTTATGGATTTACAGTCTGAAGAATCTCAGCGAGCTTCATCTGACAGGGAATCTCAGCGCGGAGAACAACCGTTATATTGTCATTGATGGACTCCGGGAGCTCAAGAGGCTCAAAGTTCTTCGTCTGAAGAGCAATCTCACCAAGCTACCTCAGGTGGTGACTGATGTGGGCATGCACCTCCAGAAGCTCTCCATCAATAACGAAGGCACCAAGCTCATGGTGCTCAACAGCCTAAAGAAGATGGTGAACCTGACAGAACTGGAGCTCATTCGCTGTGATCTTGAACGCATACCGCACTCAATCTTCAGCTTGCACAACTTGCAGGAGATTGATCTGAAGGACAACAACCTGAAGACCATCGAGGAGATCATCAGCTTCCAGCACCTTCATCGGCTTGTCTGCCTTAAGCTCTGGTACAACCAGATCGCCTATATTCCCATCCAGATTGGCACGCTGACCAACCTGGAGAAACTTTACCTGAACAGAAACAAGATCGAGAAGATCCCCAGCCAGTTGTTTTATTGCCGAAAGCTGCGCTTCCTGGACCTGAGCCATAACAACCTCACCTACATCCCCACAGACATTGGCTTCCTCCAGAATCTTCAGTATCTGGCAGTTACAGCCAACAGGGTGAGTACTTAAATAATCAGTTTTCCATCAGTTTAATCTTTATTTATTGTACATCAGATTTTTTTTTAATCATTTATGGTTCGTTTACTGCTGAGTAATGTTTGAGTTATACATTTTTTATCTCTCCGTTTCCCTCCCATCACCCCACCTTGAAACAAAGATTGAGAGCCTGCCTAATGAGCTGTTCCAGTGCAAGAAGCTTCGCACTTTGAACTTGGGGAACAATTGCCTGCAGTCTCTGCCGTCGCGGTTTGGAGAGCTGACTGGGCTGACACAGCTAGAGCTGAGAGGAAACCGTCTGGAGGGTCTTCCCGTGGAGCTGGGCGAGTGCCGACAGCTAAAGAGGACCGGCCTTGTGGTGGAGGAGGACCTTTTCAACACCCTGCCCACGGAGGTCAAGGAACAGTTATGGAAAGTTGACAAAGAACAGGCTTGAAGAGGTGTGTGGCCGTGAGTGAAAACAGATACTGAGCATTTGGGCCCGGGCGTAGAGGAGGAACGCCTCTGCTGTCCCAGAGGGCTTGTTGAAGCAGGCAGTAGTCCTGCTGCAGTGTACTGCCAGTAAGGTTGGGTATTGAGAATTAGAGACACTTGGGCAGGGAGTACTGATAGCTTCCTGTTGTTCTATAAATTCTTACCTGCAGTTGATTTTCCTTCCTTTACAAACAACTTCTCAGGCATTCCCATGATGCTTTTCAGCAGTAATGTGGCAGGGACAGTGTGATCTGCAGGGTGTGTTTACATGTTATGCTTCTCAGTTATCTCAGTATTCAAAACTGTCGGCCAACTTTGTTAAATACAGAAAAAGAACGCAAAGTTTCCACTATTCACATTTACAATAACATAAAATTCTTGTCTAATCAAGATAGAATAAATGATTAAATTAATCTGTCCAGTATTGATAGTTTTACAGATAAGATAGCAAAGTGATCACTCAGACATCTGCCTCTTAATTTGTGTGTATGGGTTGTCAAATCCCAAACTCCCAATGCTATCATAAAATGAAAAGTAATTAATCATGAAATTACGACAGGCGAGATGCTTTAATTCTGGTTGTTTTCTAAGTAAAAATTATGCACATCTTTACTCACAGTATTTGACAAGTTGTCTAATTAAATCACCAAATATTATATTTGTACATAGACGAGGTTCCTGAAATTCCTGGAAAAGTTATGAAATTAGAAAAACTGTTTTCTAACCCTGAAAATTACTTGAATTTAGCAGAATGGTTTGGAAACATTTTGATTATTCATGGTTTTCAGCTATTGTTGAAAATGTGTCTAGGTTTAGGCAAAATGAATTCCTTGTATTACTATTTTAAGCTCTAGATCCGCACTGCATGACCGTTGAAACATTACTTATATCACGTGATACACATTTGCGTATGCAGCTAGTTGGGGGCAGGAATGTCTAACATGCTAATTCGTAAATGCCTGGGAAGTGTGTTTTTAATAATGAATGGCATTTGGACGACAAATATAATACATTGTCTCTAGAGAGGCAGACCATAGCCATGCTGGACGAAGGCTCTGCACCAAAACGTCGGTAGCTAAATTTAGCTGGAAGAAGATGAAGTGTGTGATCTCTCCACATTTTAGCCCTACTTTAAATCGTTTGTGGTCAGAGAGGCGCCCAGGCAGGCTGTTACTAATTTAGATAAAGTTATGGAAATGTGGTAAAATATTATGGAAATGTTTTAAAAATTCATTCTTAGTAATGTGGGAACCCAGTGACAGGAAAACTATACACAGTCAAGTCTGCAATCCCATAAGTTTGACCTATTAACGTAAATTGTAACCATGGTGGTCGTTGTTTTTCTGCTGTTTTCCTGGCCCTCATATGTTCTCAGTCTGAAATGAATCGGAAAATCATGAGCGTATGACAAGCAATCATAAATCAGGGATAACTAATGATGAGTTAGAGCGAGAAAAGTTATGGACTCTAAAACCCTTGTGTCTGAGAGAGTGTTGCATAAGGTGGAAGGCAGAGAGTCATCGAGGAGACTATTGGTATTGCAAGTGCTGTAGAGACTGATGAGTTGTCTTCGGTTGGCCTGAGTCTTTGGTAGCAGCAGTACAACATGTGGTATTAGACTGAAGAGTGCAGACGAAACATGGAGCCAGTTTGGCAGAGTGGAGGGACTGATGGCCTCTTTCTGGGAAAAGATGAGTAGTGTGTTTGACTCGGTGCTTGAGGACAGGCAATTATTTTGTTGAATGCTAACCAGTCGACTGTTATTCCAAAATATCACCCCCATACAGTCGCACAAGTGGAGCATGTTATCAGTGAGCAGATACCCAACCCTTACTGCCAGTATGCTGTTCAGCGGGACTCCGGCAGAATATGCTTCATGGTCATGCTGCATCCACGACGTTTGTAATGAATTGCACAGAACAAAATGAACAAATCTTGGGAAAATGCTGAAAAGGTTTTGAATTAAATGAGTCATGTCTGCATCAAAATAAAGTTTATACAGGATAACACAATACTGTCATAGAAATGGAGCCTCAAAATATTAGTAATATATCTGACAAGAGTGTAGATACTTACCTGAAACACTAGATTGGTTTATTACTTATTTTGTGGTGGATATGAAGTAAGCACTGATCTACTTGTGTACCCTGATAGCTGAGTGTTTATTGTCTGCAAATGACACGTAAAAGAACCAGACATGTCCTCAAGTATGTTTGGTAACACTTTCCGTGAAGGTATCTACATAAGAGTGACATGACACTGTCATAACTATGACATGACACTGTCATGGACTTGTCATAAACATCATGTACATGTCATAAACGTTTATGACTGCTGTCATTAAGTGTCATTCGGTTTTTATAATGACAAGCTGACATTGTTTGGGTTGTCTTGATTATGACAACTTGACATTAACCAAGATGACATTACCAGAAGATGTCTTTGTCATAACAATAATAATCATTATGTCAACTTGTCATAAACACAAAAAGAGGTGCATTTCTTGTTAATGTCAAGTTGTTATGACAAAGACATCATCTTGTAATGTCATCCTGGTTAATGTCAAGTTGTCATAATAAGGACATCCCAAACAAATTTAATGTCAACTTGTCATGACAAAGACATCTTCTAGTAATGTCACTTTGATTAATGTAAAGTTGTCATAATCAAGACAACACAAACAATGTCAACTTGTCATTACAAAAACCCAATGACACTTAATGACAGCAGTCATAAACGTTTATGACATGTACATAATGTTCATGACATCATGTCATAGTTATGACAGTGTCATGTCACTCTTATGTAGATACCTTCAAGTAAAGTTTTACTGTATGTTTTCAAACTACCTGGCCTTGTGTTCATTTCAGTTTATTATAATATTGTAAGATTAATATAATGTTTCTACCTTCATGGGGTAGGTATTCTGTTTTAATTTTAATCTGTGCTGAACTGCATTAGTCAAAATACGGTGCAATATTCAGTGTAGATGTTCACCTGTGTGTGAGACAACAGCCATCTTTAACCCAAAATTACTTAAGTTGCTCTATGGGGTTATTAAAGTGAGATTAATAGGAGATTTAATCTGAGTTATGTAAAAGAATGCAATACGGTCAAAAATGGCCATTTCTGACACTTTGTCGTAATTGAATCTGAAAGTTTAGGGCTTTAAATAAAGAGAAAACTACATTTCATTTAATGTAAACTAAGAGAAATTGTAATCGACACTGGCAAGAAAGATAAGGAGACATTTTTAAAAAATAGCCATGGTTTTCAGGTCACTTGCCTTAACTTCACTCCTTCTGTGCTATGTACTGTTTGTTATTTTTGTTGTGGCATCCGCAGAGTTGAAAACACATGATCAATTTCCTTGACCGTAGCTGCACTAGACAACCCTCCCCCAGATGTTAGTGGGAGTAAAACTGTTTGTTTTATATTTTGTTTTAATTTCATCACTTCCTGTGGACTTCTCACAAGTGACCGTACTTGACACCAGTTATAAATTTGGGCAAATAAAAGTGGTCTCGACATTTAGCAGCTGGGTTTAGATTTTTATTTTATTCATTATTGAAGTGGCGCTCATTTGGGGAATAAAAGTGGTCTTTGCTTTGGTTTCTTTAAATGCTGTGTGATGGATTTTTTTGGTGCCAGACACATTGTGTTCTTGTGGAAACCCATTCCTGTCAGGGAAATAAATAAAGATTTTGCTTAACGTTAAAGTCAGAATTACAAACTAATATCTTAACATTTCAAAACTCAATTTCACATTTGACTTGGAACCTTAAAAATATTTTTGTGTCACATAATTTTGACTTAGTGTCACATTTCATTCATAATTGAAGGAGATGTTTAAATTTGCAATCTCAATTTCTCACCATTTATTTTCCTGTCACAAATGGGCCTCCATACTTTTCAGTTCAGCTCATTCAATTGTACTTTATTTCCCTGGTTTCAAAGTGTGTTAATTTGTAGAGAAATATTAGTACTTTCTGCCTGACAGTGACTTTTCTGCACTTGTGTTTTGCCACAGTAAGCAGCAGCGCCACGCTCAAAATATGGAATTCCAGATCCATGCACAGCTCTGACACAGCACAGCACACAATAGGGGGAGAATATAACAATACCAGTTTATGTTTTAATAAACCTAACTGCAAAGAAAACTCGGACAGTAGCAATATACAATACCGCAACTGGGTTGAGAAGCAGAGGGATAGTTTAAGCTATGTACATTTATTTGAATAACCTGTTTAACTATGCTCTATTGTGCAATATTGCCTTTATTTAAACAATGTAAAGGTTAGTAGTGACGTAGTTTTCCTTTTTGTGCATGGGCATTCTTTTTGTCACGTTCATTTTTACATAGGTGGTGGTGACAATTTCAAGTGGAGGAATTTTGGTCCTGGAGAATGCTTTTGCACTGTAGCACCTCTCCCACAAGTTACATTTAGATAAATGCAAATAATGGTATACGACATGTTTTGTGTGTGTTTAGAATGGGAAGGTTGAACCGAACGACTGCCAGCTGTGAGATTAAAATGTATTAGATAAGCGTTTTAATTTTTGTTTGGGTTTTTCGTAGAGCTACTCATAGGAAAACAAATTATGACACCCAGCGACACCTCAGCAATACACCACACATTAAGACAATCAACTACTCTTATTAATACTGACAGCAGAGAACAGTATGTCACATGTATTTCACCGAGCACTGCAAGTCAATGGTCAGTACGTTAAAAAATGCATCGTGTAGGTTGCTAGTAAGGTTGTATTAGTAAATAGATTTGCTTTTTATCTCGATGTTAATTGTTCTGTTCTCTGTTTTCCCTTAAAATAATTTCCACTAATTTTATTTCTTCATTTTGACAGCTATTAGTATTATTACACTCTAACTAAATTTCTCAGGAAACCAGCTAGTACTCACTTCTTTTTTGAGTTGATTGCCTTTTTTTAATTATTATTATTATGACACCTGGTATTTTTATTAATTTAAACTTTAAAAATTGTTTTATACAGTTCCAGTTTTATATGCATTTCTATACATTCTTTTCTAGTTTGGTGTATTTAATATTGACTTGCTGGTTTAAAACAAGATGTGTTTGTGTTTTTACAGAAGCCACTCAGTTTAACTTTGTGTTTTTCCTCAGTGATCATGTACAAATTGAGCTGTATTGTTTCAGAGTTGTGTCTTCGTCGTGAGTAGCACAGATAAAGTGTGTATGTGAGTGTTACCTGTGTGTGTGTATACGTTGGCATGATGAGACTTTCTGATCCCATGATGTTTATCTTCTTTCTTCTCTTAGAATTATTATTTTGGGGTACAAAAATCTTTTTTTTTTTTTTTTTTCAGTTCCCAACTTAAATCCAATCGTAGGTGATGTACAAATTTGGCTTCATGCAGTGTTGGGTTGCCAAAAGTTCTTTTATTTTTTTGTTTTGTTTTTTCATTAATTTGAAAATTATCAGTGCATCAGTATTGACATGAATGATGTGACAGTGAGTATTCTGTTTGAACATGTGTCCCATCTTCTCCTGCACATTATCCACTAGAGGTTAAATAAAATAAACTTCGACCAAGCTTGCCTGGTTTGTTGTATTTTGGTGGTGGGTAGAGAGTCTGAGAAACTGCACAGAAACATATTAGATATTGTGATAGTCATGATATTTTTAAGGAGTAACAGAAGAACTCCAGTGCAGGGTGTACGACTTTTGCTGACAAAAGCAGGGGCTGTCTGGTTACAGGATAGTCTCTCTAAACTCAAGGCCATCTACAGTCAAACTACAGTTGCCATTTTTAAAGTTTGTCAACACAAAGATGAATTATTAACTGAAAATGTGTTTTGGAATTATGAGATATGATCACGAAATCAGCTGAACCTGATGTTGAGCCCTTGTCATGAAGACGACTCCCATATCAAAATCTAGTTTAAAGCAGTGCTGGAAGATGTAGTCAGATCTTTTACTTAACTTTTAACTTAACTGTTTAAGTTGCAATACTACATTAAAAATAATCTGTTACAAGTAAAAGTCATCTATTCAAATTGTACTCAAGTAAAAGTGCAAAAGTATTCGCTTAAAAATAGACTTAAAGTACCAAATGTAAAGGTACTCATGCCAAATGGCCCATTTCACAATAATATGTATATTATATTACTGGATTAAAATTTTGGATGCATTAATGTGTTAATCAATTTATTGTTGGGTGATAATAATTTTATATATACCGCTAGGAATGGAGTGGAGTGTCCATGGGCAGCCCCCTCACTCTGACATCTCTCCATGCAATGCATGTGTAGGTCCTGTTCGTGCATTTGTGTGTGTTTCGGGCCTGTGTGTGACAACAGAGTGAAAATCCTCATCCATAATAATATATCATAATTTATTGAGTTGATTATATTTTCTATTTGTAATCTAAATTACAAAGTTACCACTAACTAAAACCATCAAACAAATTTAGTAAAGTTAACAGTATAACATTAGCCTCCAAAATGTAATGGAGCAGAAATAGTCAAGTACAAGTGCCTTGTATATGGACTACAGTACAGTACTTGAGTAAGTATACTTTGTTAAACATCACCACTGATTTTAAGACGCTCATAAACTAAGTTTTGTGCCTGTTTGTTGCATGTTCCTAAATTAATGTATTTAAATAAATTCCCCTATTACAAATCTGGTAATACTCAAGCAGAGAGGCCAAGAGCAAGTTCATCTGGCCGTGTCATAACAGCATCACAGGTGTAATTTCTCTGCTTTAACACCTCCATAATATCCGTAAATAGCTTTATGATCGGCACAATATCATAGTATCAGTTTAAAAGTAACTACGTCACCTTCATTTTGCCATGGGCGTGCCCTTTTGAAACGACTAGAAGTCCTTGCGGAACCCTTCTTTGCTAAGCTACTGCACCAACACGGACATGTTTCTCCGACGCACTTGTGCGAAGACGCAACAATTGAAATGGTAAATCTAATTGTAAACGTTTCCAGTAGCTATTTATTAATATAAAATATAAGAGAACAGTGTAAGAAGCTAATAACTAATTAAATGTTTTAACACTTTTAAGTTTGTTAGGAGTCAGTACAGGGACTTCCGGTTTGTATGTAGAACTTACTTGTCTTAGCACTCGGGCTAACAGGCTAAGCTAGGTGGCAAACAGTAATGAATGGCCTCTTAAAAATTAACGTTGTGTTTCTTCTGTAAATGTTCCAGGCTGTTACACTTCACACGGATCTAGGAGACATTAAAATTGAATTGTTTTGTGAGCGGACACCGAGAGCATGTGAGGTGAGTCAACTACAG